GTGGATTTCACAAGCTTCAAAATCTCCCCTCCCCCTACCGCATCCCAAAACCAATCCAGCTCGTCCCCGCCTCCCTAACCTGTTCTTCCTCCCACCTATCCCCTCCTCCCACCTCAAGCCGCACCCCCATCTCCTACCGACTAACCTCATCCCACCCCCTCGACCTGTCCGTCCTCCCTGGACTGACCTATCCCCTCCCTAACTTCCCACCTACACTCACCTTTACTGGCTCTATCCCCGCCTCTTCGACCTGTTTGTTTCCTCTCCACCTATCCTCTCCTCTATCCATCTTCTATCCGCCTCCCACTCTCTCCTTATTTATTTCAGAACCTCCTTCCCCTCCCCCTTTTCTGATGAAGGGTCTAGGCCCGAAACATCAGCCTTTCTGCTCCTATGATGCTGCTTGGCCTGCTGTGTTCATCCAGCCCTGCACTTTGTTGTCTAGAATAATTAGGTGGCTGTTTTTGACCAGTGCAGACTCAATGGACTGAAAGGCCTTTATCGGTCGGCCTCAATGATTGTGGCAATCTGACCTACGTCGAACACTGCATTACTTAACCTGGCCTACCTGCCATCTTATGCCCTGGCATCTAACATCCTACCCACTTGGCACCCTAGACCATACACACTTGGCATCCTCCCCTCCCAGCACCCTCACCTCACATTTACGTTAGGAACATACCAGTTGGCAGCAGCAGTGGCAGTGTGCCATTCTGGGTTTTTGCAGTTCAGATATAGTGACGGACACAATAAGCTGCAGTTGGCCTTCCTCTGACCATTCCGTAATTATGACAGAACTGTCAGAATGGAAGTATGGCTCCACAGTTCCAAATCTGTTTGAGATTTCCACTCCTCAGGAAATTCAGACCATTGTTTCTGAAAGTAGAAGGGCTGTGTGCTTGGTGCGGTGGGCAAGATTCTCATGATTGCTATGGCCAGTTCCTGGGTGAGGTTGCCCTGTCCTTGTCTTGGGGACTCCCGAAAGAAGGGTGTCTTGCTTGACCTGACTGAGGGCTATTAGTTGGACTTTGAGACATGGCCATTTGGTTGAAACACAGTGTACTTGAAATATAAGCTGCTGGCGTATGGTGCAGGTATGATACTGATGTGGAATGATGCCAAACTGCAACATATTCACCCTCTTTACTAATGACTACTGAGAACCAGGACAAGCTGCCTGGCTTTGTATCTGCACTAAAAGGCATATCAAGGAAGAAGTAAAATAAAACAAAGAACTGTGGGGAAACAAAAACAGAAATTGATGGATAAACTCAGCAGGTCTGGCAGCATCGTTGCGGAAAAAGCAGAGTTAATGTTTCAAGTCCAGGGACCCTGTTCAGAGCTAAGAAGCTATTCAGTAGCTCGGAAAAGGTGGTACTGCAGTTCCAAATAGAATATACAAAATTGCCAAGCACATGGGGGTGATTAAGAATGACACGGCTCCTCTTTATTCTGCCATCCACCATACCCCTGCAGCCCCTGTCCCACCTGTCTCATTGGTCACAACAAGGTTCATTTAAGAAGGAGAGTAAATTGATTTACAGTCAGAAAGGAGTCACTTTAACCTGGCTGTCTTGAATTAACAAAAGAGTGTGTTTTTTTAGTTATTGTACGCAAGAAATAATAACATGACACACAGATAGGTTGAGAAAATTACAGGCAACTCCAAAATAAAGATAAAAGTTGAAAAACATATACAATCAGCCTCCAAGTTCTATGAAAAGTAGACATGTTGGATGTTGTGATCCTTACAATGGGTGATACCAGTAGCCCTGATGTTGACTACTGAGCAGTTGATTGTAAGATGCTTGGCTCTGTGGGTCAGCTGAAATGTCTTTGTCCTGTTGCCTTTTGACTGTGATCCTACTTGCCTTGTGGCGTTAGGCAAAGACAGAGAGACTCCTCACCTTTTTACCTGTAGCACAGGGATGATTAGGGGTTTTCTCAGCCTGATTCACAGACCAACGTCACCTACTGATACACACGGTGCATTAATGAAAGGAGAAAATGCAAGCATGCATCTCATTCAGGCTGTTCTCTTTAATTCCATCATGGTCACAGTCTGAGTTAACGAGATATTTAAAAAGTTAAAATTCTTGCTTTTTTCAATTTCACCTTTCTCTTGCTATTTTGTTTTCTAGACATGATTTCAGGTTGAATTACGTTTTCTGTTTCATTCTTCCTGGTGTAAACTCAATATGACTCAATGAGGTTGCTTCAACATGATCAATTTAAGAAACTTGCTGTTGCCTGCCCTATTCACAAAGATCCAGGACCTGGGATATAATGAAGCTCTAATTATCACATGTTGCCACTCAGAAATCTGCTGTTGTCACTGACAATAAAAGCCATTCAATTACATCCAAGACTCACCAGCCTGTTCAGCCAAATAATAACATATCCATAAACTAGATCAGGGAATACTTCAGAGATAGTAAGTACTGCTGATGCTGGAGCCAGAGATAACACAGTGTGGAACTGGAGGAGCACACCAGGCAGCATGGGAGGAGCAGGAAAGTTGACCAAGGGTCCCAACCCAAAACGTCAACTTTCCTGCTCCTCTGATGCTGCCTGGCCTGCTGCGTTCCTCCAGCTCCACACCTTGTTATCTCAGGGAATACATCAGATCCTTGCCATCCAAGAGCTCACGATGGTCTTGATCTGAACAAGCAGGGAATTCACGACGGTGTATCTGGCAGATTGGCTGTGTATCATAGTCCCCCCTACCCCCCACACTCCTGACAGGGCACAAACAACAGCAACATGAAGGCCTCAACTGGCAGAGGAAGGTGAAAGTCCCCCTCAAACTTCTCAGCCCCCGACTTGGTCAGAGGGAGTCAAGGAGGTTGACCCCATGTCTTTCTATGCAATCGTGGGCTCACTACTTGTTTGGAGGACGACTGGAGGTGGAGGGAGAGGTGAATATAAATTCCACCCATTACCCTATATTTTCAACAAATGCACTTCAAATTCAGTGTGTTCAGATAGTCTACGTTTTCATCATGCTTCGTGTTTTATAGCGTCATAAGGCACAGAAAAGGCCCTTCAGCCCATCAAGTCGACACCAATCCCACTTTCCAATACTTGATCCATAGCCTTGGATGTTATGACATTCCAAGTGCTCATCCACATACGTTTAAATGTTGTGAGGTTTCCTACCTCAACTGCCCTCCCAGGTTCTGCCAGACTGGAGAATAGATTAGTTTTGGGCACTGGCCACTCTTAACATTTGAGTTTGAGGGATGGAAGACAATCAACATCCCACGGGTAACGGACAGAATGGAAGAATGCAATTCCTTTTCTGGTGGCAAGGACATCAACAACTGAGTTAGAAAAGCAATTCAGCAAATTAACAGCTGTTGAAGTATCATGATGAATTTAAGGTCAAGAGTTAGACAGTTGGTAGTTTGAAAGTACAGTGGCAGATGATTTGAGAGAAACTATTTGTTCTCCCCTACGAGAAAATTTGCAGAACATAATTCATATTTACACAGTTAAATTAGTCTCATCAAGCTGAAGGCCAAATAATTTAAAGTCTTTAATGCAAACAATTTTATGATGAGGAGATTACTATTTCAGAGGTTGAACTATGTCCCTCTGCTCATCACTAGATTAATATAAATTACACACCATGAGTAGCTTAAAGAAAGAATAATTCATATTTATTGTTGCATCTAATCACTTCTCTCAGAAATATTCCCAAGTATTTATTTATTTGCTGGAAATGCAATCATCCTGTGCAAGCAAATACAATGGTTTGTGCACAAATATGGGTATCCAGATAATCTAATCATTGGCTGAGACAGATGGAGAATTCTGCTTTTCAAATTATGCAGCAGGAGCTTTCATATCCTCCTAGTCCAGAGGAATAGGTGTACAGGACTTCAAAGTCACATCACATCCAATGGACAGCACCACAAACAACGCAGAATATCTCTCAGTACTTCACTGGAACATGAGCTTAGCTTATATGCTTAAGTTTAATTAAAACTGGTCCATATTAATGGAGTACACATCCTATAGGACAACCAAGATAAAACAAGAGAATTGGTATTCAGAGAAAATTAAAGTTTCTGAAGGTGAAATAGTTACTAAATGGACTGGTATAAAAGAGAAACCCATTAAGTGTAAAATCTGCAGAAAGCCAAATAAAGTAAATAAACAAGGCAATTAAACTAAAATGAATTTGGACCTCCTGATAGAATAATTTGGTTATATTTTCTTGCTACTGACTTTAACATAATAAGCATGCATTTCTAGAAACAAACCTGAAGTTCAGCTGAATTTTCTCTTATTTTTGTACAGATCTTACCCAATTTATTTTTAAATGGATTAAGACTTGTATGAAAGTAGCAAAGTACAGAATTGCAGATGGAGGAGTTAAATACCTGGACACATACATGCCACAGCATTGTCCCTCAGTACTCAAATATTAAACTTATACATACGACTGATTTATCTTATGAATTCATTATTCTATTAGTACTGCAGAAGCTCAAGCACTCCACTCCGAGTAAAATGAATCAGTTTTCTTAAGTCAGGAAACTGGAAGAAGTAGAATTTGACAGGTTTCAACAGTGAGTGACCATCTTGTGATTCCTACGGGAACGTGTGTGAGACAAACTCAACAGAACAGGCCAACATCAACTGCTCAAATACGTACCAATAATCACTGTCTACGTTCACACACAAAGGATGACCACTTCAGCAAGGGTGTGGAGGTGCCAGTGTTGGACTAGGGTGGACAAGGTTAGAAATCACACAACACTAGGTTATAGTCCAGCAGGGGTTATTTGGAATCACAAAAGCTTTCGGAGCACAGCCCTGAACAGTGCTGCACATGACGAAGGGGCTGCATTCCGAAAGCTTGTGTGATTCCAAATAACACCTGTTGGACTATAACCTAGTGTTGTGTGACTTCTTATTTCAGCAAGGGGACTGATGAGAACTCAAGCGTACTACTCCTTTGGATCTAAATACCCAATATAAATTAGAACTTACATGGTTAGCTTCAATAGAGTCAGAGCCTCAATGCATGCTGGTATGGGCTCACTGAAAAGACAGAAACATTGTTCATGTCACAAAGCTGTGGCGCTGAGGCGATGTTAAAGTGACCAGAAATATTCTGCTACAGTAATGTATCAGATACAGTTTGGCAGATTTATATGTCCTGCTTATCTTCATCCCCTCCCCCACTGTGCTCCCTGACCTATGTTGGCTTATGGTGTGCTAACACATGGATTAAAATTTTAATCCATTTCTTCCAAGACTTCCACCACATTTCTGTCACATTCTCCAGGGTCCTCCCATCCTCAGGTTTTGATGTAGAGTGTGCACTATCCAGATTGCAGAGCCTACAAAAATTCTTTCATTCAAGGATGATAATGCTTTAAAACATCTCTCTGCCAAGATCATAAACATTCTGTAAAGTCATAATAGATGCCTTTCAGCAGGAGTAAATTGTATTTTCTAATACATATTGACAACCAAGATGCAAAAACAGATCTCGGTATGATTCAATTTCCAATTCTTAATAAATTTAGACAGTGTGTGTGTTGGATAGGAACATAGTTATCAAAAGTTGATATGCTGCAGGGCAGACTTCAGCTTATTATACAATACCTGGGCCATGTAGACTGTATTTCCAGTGAGTAACAGCCTTTCTTCCTGAAGCACTGGGGTGTTCCTCACAAAAGACACACAGCTTCAAACATGAACACTCAGCATCACTCTCTGGAAAGGTGACAAAAAACACATTGCTAAGTTTTGCTGATGTTAATGCCTCACGATGACCCCAAACCAGAACTAACTCAAAATGTACTTCCTTGCTCCTTTGCTGTAAAGAATTACCTATCAAAATTAAGCTTCAAACTTGTAGGTCTGTAATGACTTTCAATTTGCATTTAATTTGTGCCTTCAATGTAGTAAAACATCCCAAAGCACTTCACATACGCATTAGCAAGCAACTGTTGACCCCGAGTCACATAAAGAGAAATTAACATGGACGATCAAAGATAGTTTTAGGCAACTTTTTAAAATAGGTACAGAGAAAAGAGTTAAAGAGGGAATTTCAGAATTTAAGATCCGGCAGCTGAAGACTCAGTGAATAGAGTGTGGAACTGGAGAAACAAAGCAGGTCGGGCAGCAGCCGAGAGAAAAAAAAAAAACGACGTTTCGGGTTTACACCCTTCAGCAGGACTCATCAGCTCACGATACAACATCATGAGCTGAAGACTCATCAATGTTGGATGACCACTTGTACTGTTGTCCCAAAGCCCATTTATAAACTCCAATTTAAACAACTGAAGATGCAGAAAGTATAGAGATCATTAATAAGAATTTATAAAATAGGAGGAGATCATATAGCCTTCTGAGCCTGTTCCAGCAACCGATAAGATCATGGGTGATCTTCTACCGCAGCTTCATTTCCCTGCCCTAACCCCATATTTCTTCATTCCTAAGTGTCCGATAATCTACCAATCTCAGTCTTGAATATACAACTGAGCATCCTTGGCCCTCTGGGATTGCAACGTTCAGATTCCTCTGACAAAATTCCTTCACATTCCCCTCCTGACCAGCCAAACATATTCTGAACATGCAACTACATCCAAACTCCTTCTTTGGGGAAACAACGTCACAACATTTACTTGACAAGCTACAAAAAAAGTGCCATTAACTCTTTGGTCTTTACCATACACCCATTTACTAAAATGCATTGTGCCCAAATCTGTTTTTTTTTCTTAAATTGCACAGCATCTTTCAAAAGGGTGACAAAGCTTGACATGAAAGTGGGATTCAACATGACCAGTGCGCACTGCCCCAAAAATGTATCTAATAGTCCGCAATTAAAAATAATCTTTAAAAATGGTCAAGTATTTCATCCTGAAATCAGAACATTTTGATCAAATCACTGAAGCCCTAATTGACTTGCAAAAATTACAAGCACCAATAATTAGATGGATTCCCTCAAGGCATTCCTCAGCAATAGCTTTTAAAAGGAACAGGCCAGATAAGCAACGAATCATTAGAAACATCAGGCTAAATTTTAAGGGAGTGTTTTAATGTTCCCTGCCTTCCCCTCCCCCTCAAATTAGTCATATGCAAACTAACTAACTTTATAAAAAGAGGCCTCCCTCCAGTCATATCACAACTTGAACTGAGATGGGACTTCTGCCGCTCAGTGGAAGAAAGGAAGTCCACACTGCAAGAACTAGCGACTAATTTGCTTGAGGGAGGGCAGATTTTACAGGCCCTGGGATACACCCAGATGGATAAATCAGTAAAACATGCAAGTGACACACGTTGATCCCAATCACATCAAATTGGAGCTCCAGTAGGACCAGTACAGCCATTTCCAAGTGTCACTTTCTTGAACTTACTTTTCCCTTTGGACAGGAACCACCTCCCCAATGACGTACACTTGCCCCCCCATTGTCCTTTTCACCAAATTTAGTGAAAAAGATGGCCTTCCCACTTTTCCCTACCTTCCCAGTGCATTGTGGCACTGAAGGTAGAATAAAGGCCTCAGTAGGATATTAACTGCCCCCATAAGAGCCTGCAATAGGCCCATGTGCAGTCAGGTTAGTGCACACCTTAAAAAAAACCTAGCAAGTTAATGTAGTAGTCCCACTGAACCTCCATTTTGAAGTATACATGGCATGTTGGAAATAGTATGTGTCATTCGCAGGTTTCAGCTGTTTTTCCTTGTGGGCACAAGGTTGGAGGTGGGAGGGCAATAATGGGCCACCCACGTGTCATATTTCATACGCTTCTCTCCTTCCTCCACCAACCCCAAAGAAAACAAACCCAACAGTTTGTTTGGGGCCATATGTTCCTGTGTCTGAAGCTGCTCATTAGCAACATCAGATATAATTGACACCCTAAAACAAAGTAAAAATACTGTGGACGCTGACAATCTGAACTAAAAGCACCAATTTCTGGAGATGCTGAGCTGGTTTGGTGAGAGAAACAGAGTTAACATAGAAGGGTCCAATTGGAACTTTCTTCTGAACTGTAGAGAGGTAGAAGCCTCAAAAGATTAACTTTGTCTCTCTCTCTCTCCCCACACAGATGCTGCCAGACCTGCTGAGCTTCTCCAACATTTTCTGGACTTATACTAAAAATGCTGTTCTGAATACCGTATGTATCAACAAAGATTCTAATATCACAATACCATATGATTTAATTTGAAGTTATGTATGTCTCTCTTTGGGTACTGTTTGTAAACATTATATTAATAAAGTCACCTTATTTGGGCTTAATATTGAGACTGGTGTATGTTAAAGCACATGTGGTTTCAAGTTAGGAAATCTACATTTCTACTCTTCAGATGATGTTTGTAACTGGATCCCTGCAGAAATTTAAGGCGTACCATTTTGCAATAATTCAGCATTTTTCACACATTTGAGAAGTGATAATGAATGCTTCACCCCAGCAGCCTTGGTCCCAAATATTGATAGGCCTGCAGATAGTCTTTAGAGATAGGTATCCAGTCTGAGGATTCAATAAGACAGATTCAGGAAGAGAGGCTGGAGCTCTCTGGGATGCATAAGGTAATGGTTCTGCAAGGATTAATGATAGAGACTGTATTAAGCACCACCCAATCTGATGATGTTATTCGGTGGGGAAAAGGCTGAACGCATTTGAATCATGAAAAGGTCAGACCTACTATCCGAGATCTCCTGATAGTCTTAATAACAATGCTAATTTACTTGTGTAGCTTGTCTCTGATGGCCAATGCACAGTAAACTACATCATCGTTAAGAGATTCTTCTCATTAAGACTCACTGTTGATTTTCCTCTCCCGTTGTAAACCAAGAGGGGCCTTGGGCCCAATCAAGGAAACAGGATGGTGACAGTAAACCACCCCAACCACAAGCTGGCAGTGGCTGGCATCACAACACTTTCGGCAAAGTGCATCTGCTACCCATTAGGGCAGTAACAAAATGACATGCAATCCACTGAGACAAGTGAGATTAGCACGTATCACATGCACTAATCCACCTTATGGACTTAATTCATATATTAATCAAAGTGGTTAGACGTAATACCAAAACGGGCCATGACAGGCATCCTATGAACAAATTAATTGCTTTAAAAAGTCACAACAGTTGCCAGATGCAAATTAATCCCACAATCCTCAACAGAAACAAGACAACACAGAATGAATCGAAAATTACAGATCAATCTCAAACTCACATAACAAGACCTGCAGCTATGAAAAGGAGTGCAACACTCACGTAAATAGCTGAGAGTGACAGATATAGCATTAATCCCACACACATTCATTATCAGAGACAAACAATTACAGAACAATTCTCATGCCTGACAAACACAGATTGAATGCCACATTCAAATAGAAATTGCAGAGACCGGGATACACAGAATGATTCCAGCAAATTTTAGAAGGGCTCACACTGTGAATTTGAGTTCAGTGTCACACATACAGAATGCATGATATATTCAAATTCAGTGCTGTATACTGACAGATACAACATTGAGCCTGTTGGACTTTCCAGTGTTTCTGAATTACATCAGCTCACAGTCTACATTAAAAGCAAAATACTGCAAATTCTGTAAATCTCAAATGATACACAAAGAAAACGCTGGTAAGATTCAGCAGGTCAATCATCTGTAGACACAGGGAGGAAGGAGTGACATTTCAGAATCGTTGCCAGTAGGGATTTCCATTTACAGGTCATTGTAACACCTTCACCTCAGAGTCACACAACTCCAGCTTCAAGTCCCATTCCAGGGCTAGAGCATAACAATAATCAGGTTATAGTGTCATAGAGTCATACAGCATGGAAACAGACCCTTCAGTCCAATGAGTCCACACCGACCACATTCCCAAACTAAACTAGTCCCACTTGCCTGCATTTGGCCCATATCCCTCCAAACCTTTCCTATTCATGTATGTGTCTAAATGTCTATTAAACATTGTACCTGCATCCACCACTTTCTCTGCCAGTTCATTCCGCACACGAACCACACTCTGTGTAAAAAAGTTGCCCCTTATATCCTTTCTCCTCTCACCTTAAAAATACGGTCCCCTAGTTTTGAACTCCCCCACCCTAGGGAAAAGACCCTTCGCTATTCAACTTTTCTATGCCTCTCATGATTTTATAAACTTCTTTAAGGTCATCCCTCAACCTCCTACACTCCAGTGAAAAGAAGTCCCAGCCTAGCCAGCCTCTCCTTATAACTCAAACCCTCCATTCCCAGCAACATCCTGGTAAATCTTTTCTGAAGCCTCTCCAGCTTAATAATATCCTTTCTATAGCAGGGCGACCAGAACTGTACACAGTGCTCCAGAAGAGGCCTCACCAACGTCCTGGTATCGTGTCTCAGAGGAGACATTAAACCAAGGTTCCATTTATTTTCTTGGATGGTGCAAAAAAATGCCATGGCATTTTGAAGAGCAGAGGTGGGTATGCATGGTTTCCCAGTCAATATTTATCGCTCAATAAACAGTTCAAAAACACATTATCAAGATGCTATCACATTGCTATTGATAGCACCTTGTTGTGTACAAATTGGCTGCCCCATTTTGTACCTTTCAACCCGTGGTTACATTTCAAAAGTACTCCATTGGCTTGATATCTAGTGGTCAAGAAAGCTGCCATATAAAATCTGAGTCTTTTCAAATGTGCATTTCCCATTGCAAGCAAGAAATGACAAAACTTAACAAAAACGGAAAAAGAAACCTTCACTTGAAAGCTTTTGGGAGAGAA